AAAAAAAAAAAAGAATAGCAATTACCAAAACCACCTGGCGCTTGCTGAGAGCCTGGCGCGCCCAAGGCAAGGCACGGTGCTAGTTGTATAAAAAACAGTATTAAAAAATCACTCTCTGCCTTCGGGACTCACAGACTCGTTCAGGAGATAAATCATCCTATCTCCTAAATGTACTGTATTTGCCCTTAGAGGACCAGGTGATGCTAGAGAGGCCTCTATTCAGAATGGGTGTAAACAACATTATATAAGCACTTGGAATTGAAATCAGTAAATGTCTAAAACCTCATTATAAAGAAATCCAATCTGGTTGGCTTGTTGAGTTCGTATAAATCTGACCTTTGAAAGGGCATTTTGCAAAGATTTTCATCCAGTTAGGCTTCTGTAGCTTGAAAGCAGAAAAATCAGTGACCTCCCCGCCCCAGATTTATCCGTGTCCCTGGATCAGCTCAAACTCCCAAGTAGACAGGCCTCAGAAACCAAACTGGAGAAGCAAAGGGGGAGGAGCTAGGACAGACTTGCTGAGCCCAGCTTGGGTGGGGAGGAAGGCAGGGAAGCAAGGGAGCCTTCAAAAGAACAGGGGTCATGCAGCAGTGAGAAACATGGGCAGAGAGGCTCACCAGAGGGTTGCAAAGGGGTCCACTGAGCATTACAAACTACGAGGGTGATGGTGCTTAACGTGAAAAATGCTGCAGACTAGTCTACAAAAATAAACTGGCCATTTTCAGGACCCAAAGAAGAAACTAACCAGAGGCCTTCCTGGTGGTGTTGGATCTCAATCCAAGTAGTGAGTAGACCAATAATAATGAGGACCTATAAATAGATGTGGTTTAAAAGCGGGTGGTGAAAAGGCAGGCCGAGAGATCCAAACAAAACCGTTCTGACATAATTTTAAATAGCAGTAGGCTGCCACTTCTAATTTTAGTTTGCTTTCTTGTCCTTTCCTCTATAATTTAGAATTATTTGATTTGTTTTATATTCAAAATGGTGAATTAATTGTTGTCAGTTTAGTCTGGTAGGTAACATACCTGTCTGACTTTTCGTAATGAAGCATTTACATGTGGTCACCTAAAATTTTCTTGTTCTAATCCAAAAATCCAAGACTGTAGCTAGATCCACCCCACTCCACTGGTAACAGTACCAGCTCCCAACAGGCTGAAGGAATTGGGAAGGGAAAGTTCATAGACTCCTTGCAGACCTATTTAGGTGGCCCCAAACCTCTAAAAATAATGAGAACATGTCGTACAGATATAAATAAACATGAACAATGGCATTTAAGTTCCAACCCAGAAACTTCTACTTGACCACTCTCTTCACTTTAGGGGATGTCTTAATATCTGTACTATCTAAACAGATACAGGGGTTTTTTTTGTTTGTTTGTTTTTTAAGATTTTATTTATTTGACAGAGAGAGAGACAGCGAGAGCAGGAACACAAGCAGGGGGAGTGGGAGAGGGAGAAGCAGGCTTCCTGCCGAGCAGAGGCCCAATGTGGGACTCGATCCCAGGACCCCGGGATCATGACCTGAGCTGAAGGCAGACGCTTAACGACTGAGCCACCCAGGCGCCCCAGATACCGGGTTTTACTCTGAGAATATTTTAGTCCTATGATTTAGGTAGTGAATTTATGTTTAGTCTCAGGAATGGTTTTTATAAACTGGGATGGATAGATCCAAATAGAGTCACACATTAGCGAATGAGATCACTCTTCAGTATTTATCTCATGATAGAATTGAACAATTTGAGTGGATTTCTTAGATTAACTAGTATAAATTTTTAAGATCAAGAGCTGTGGGTTCAAGTATTACCTTCCTGACACCCATGAGCTGATATTCGAAGACTTATTCTACTGTAAAAATAAAGTACATGGGTGCATATCCCTACATATGTGCATAACACAAAGGGGGGTAAATTATGAACAAATGTCCTTAATCATCATTTCACTAGAGGGCTCACTTTCCTTATAGAAAGTGTTCTTGGATTCCATTAACAAAAAAAAAGCCCAGAGATTGGGAAAACGATATCCTCTCAAAAGATAAGACTGCTTCTTTTAAGATTGACAGACTCTTTAAAGGCAATTCATTCCTGTAAACCAGAGGAAAACACAGATGACCAATGATATCAGACTGCCATATAAAAATTACATATGAGAATTTCTTGATCATCAGTTTCTCCAAACTTCCAAAGTTTGTTTTTGTTTTTGTTTTTGTTTTTTTTAATTTTCTGTTAGGTATCAGAAGACCTTGAATTGAAGTGAATTGAAGCCAAGAAGCAAATTAGGGGACTCAGTAAATGGGACCCAAAACCACAGCTAACACATGAATTCTACTCCTACTTTTAAGATTTGCTCCCAAACACCATTTGTGGTCTGTTCCCAGGGCCTCAGAAGATGGGGACCCCTACGTGCGGCCAGAGGATGAGAACTATGAAAATGACTCAGTCCGGCAGCTGGAGAACGAGCTCAAGATGGAGGAGTATCTGAAACAGAAGCTGCAGGATGAAGCCTACCAGGTATGGGGAGCCAGGCCTCACCCCCAGCCCCCAGCCCCCCACCCCTTGGTAGCTGGGTCTTTTACATTACTCAGAAAATCCATGCCTTCTCCTTTCTTCTACCCTCCCTCTCCAGAATATTCTGATTGCATTCCTTACTCCACATATTCTAGACAATTGTAAAAATTGTAAATACTTCTTAGAGCTATGCCTCTCACCATGAATTCTTAGAAATTCAGATCTGGTGGGGCGCCTGGGTGGCTCAGTTGGTTAAGCGACTGCCTTCGGCTCAGGTCATGATCCTGGAGTCCCGGGATCGAGTCCCGCATCAGGTTCCCTGCTCAGCAGGGGGTCTGCTTCTCCCACTTCCCTCTCGTGCTCTCTGTCTCTCATTCTCTCTCTCTCAAATAAATAAATAAAATCTTTAAAAAAAAAAAAAAAAAAAGAAATTCAGATCTGGTAAGTGAAAAAGACCGTGTCCCTTTAGGGGAAACATGGTGACTAACAATCTATACTCTTCCAAGTTCAGTGGGAAAGATACGTTTTCTCATAGATAAAAAATAAATAAATAAAAATAAATTTTAAAAAAAATACAGAGAACAAGGCCCAAGGAAACTGAGTAAGTATAAATATATCTCTTCCCTTGAATCATTTTGTCCTCATCCTCCTTCACTGCCCACCTCATGTCAAAATAAGTAAGTAGGAGAGTATCAAATCTCACCAAGAAAGGGAGGAGGAACTGTAAGCCCCGTGTTCAGCAGGGTATGGATGGACAGATTTTCATATATACTGGAGTGTATTATTAATCCAGCTGAGAATTCACCAAACATAACACATGCAACTGGGAATAAGTGTAATTAGTAAGTCATCCTAAAGGGGATGCATTTTCCCCATGGAGATTTTTCTACTGCCCTGTTGGTCTTGCTTGTATGTTTCTCTTCCCTGTAATTCACAGGTGTTTTCTTGAGGTTCTAGGAGCTCAGGGATGTTTGCCTGGTTGAGACCTACTGCCCCACCCCTCAGGCCCCATGGGATATTTCTTCATGTCGGGCTTTCTGTCCAATGGCCAGACAAGCTTCCTCCACATTCTTAGATGAGCAGTGGCCCTCTCTTACTCCATTAGTGAAGGAAAGAGAAGCAGAGTGAATACATTACCTCTACTTCTCATATGTGTACGGATGGTTTTGAAATATTTTCCCAAGAAGAATGTAGCAAGAAAGAAACTGAAGCCTACCAACGCCACCCCAACAATATAAAACAAAAGTTTTGCCTCTTTGGAATGTTCCATTAGCCTTTTCGGTTTAACAACCATATTTCAGAAGCAACTAAAATGTAGGCCTCGTCATACCCCACCCCCCAAAAAAGAAAAAAAATCAGTGACTATATATGTAAAGCCATGCTTCAACACTGCAGAAACGGTCAAAGTTGCGGGAAGTGGAGAACCATGGAGAATGCTCTTATTTTGCCACTTCCGTGGCCTGTCCACAGAAGGAAATTAGCCTGGATGAAGCTGCCGGGGTGTCTCTGGGAACTCTAAGGGATGGCATTCCGACATGCTTTTCATTTGGCTCTGCTGCCTAGAGCGGGAGAGAGATGTGGTGAAATAATCAGTGTTCTGGTTCATGCTGTTAGGGGCGCCTGTTAGGCCTCCCTCTTCGAGCCCATATCGGTTTCTGGATGTTGGTGACAACAGTAACTGAAGTTCTAGATTTTTTTTTTTTTTAAAGGGAAACCGTCATTTCATATAAAATATTAGATTTGTATTTATTTTAATGAATTAGCAATTTAACCTTATAGGAGTAAAATGAAGGGAAATTCTATTAATAGCTTAAGATGCAACTGGAGTTTTTGCCATCTCTGGTTAATCTTAAGCTCTTTCCCTCCTTTCCTTTCCATGCCCAGTGACTTCAAGGGAAAGGTAAAGACAAGGTGTAGGAGACCGTAGTAAGCCTGTGTGTCCGCACTCAAGGCATATGCCCTAGAGAATGTTGAAGTGACTTTCCTTGCGTACTCTGTGAGCGTATGGTTGCTTGATGGGTCAGAATGCTGTTTTCATTCATCGGACTCTCTTGCTCTCTGTCCTTCTGCATGGCTTCCAACCAAATAATTCACGAGCTTGACTGCATCACAGACTTGACATGTCACCTTTCTTGTTTGTGTCCTTTGTCACCCGCAGGTCAGCTTGCAAGGTTGAATACAATATCCTTTTATCACTCTCCTCTCAAGTAAGTACCATCTTATTTAGGAGGAAACGTGCCCACTGTACACTGAATTCTGATAACTAGTAACCTAAATTCACAATCACTCTCTCTTAGGTGTTTCTGTGTTCTATGTGATAAATACCCTCCTTCCCTCCTGATATCAAAGAATCATCCTGGCCTATGGAGCATTTCATTATAACCCAGTGGAGATTTGGCAGACAACCTCGGGAATTGACTTTTTACTCTATTAATTAGGAAAATTGGCAGAGAAATTTCTGTAATGCCAGAGACGCCCCAGAAATCCTCCGGGGCTATGGCGCCTCATCACCAGTCCCTAACAGCACCTGAGTTTGCAGCCTCTCTATCACTTGAGAAGGAAAAGTCCAGGCATGCTCAGCACATCCAGGGATGGGCCAGCCTCAGAGGCATGCTGTATTCAGGACCCAGAGATCAAATGTGTGCACCTCAACGAGTGAAGGCAAAACCGTGTATTATTAAAGAAAACAAAAGAAGCAAAACAGAGAGGACAACTTCTGCAGCCTTATATTTTTGGAATAGCTGATTCAAATTCTTTGTGGAATTCAGCAAGATACAGCTTAATTTAAAATATCATTTACGTGGCATGTGATTCCCCACCCCCAGGGACCTACCAACATACATGGAAAATCCTTAGTCATGTGTTTAATGTAGAGAGAATAGCACTTGACTGGCAGGACCACACTGGAGGGTAGCGGTCTAGAGCTCAGATGCTGGACTCTGGCAGACCTAATTTCAAATAGGAGTTCCACCAAATCGTGGTCGCATAACCCTGACAAATGATTAAACCCCTATGAACTTCTGTTCCCTCTGCACAACATCTATCATAATACTTACCTCATAGTGGAGTTGTCCTCACTGGGATGTAGTTTATAAAGAGCTTAGCATGGTGGCAAACACACCATAATTTATGATGAGCCCACACATACATGCCTGGCACTGTGCTCAATGCTTTGCAAGTGATTCAATCCTGGGGAGCTGCTAGAGTTATTATGTAAGTGTATGGGGAACCCTACCCCCACCCCCCAGGACTCAGAACTAGCTTGCTGTCTGTATTTTTATAGATAAAGCTAAGGACTCAGCTATGTGTAATGATTTTATACGCTTTTGGCTACAATGTCTCTTAAGTCTAGATGGTGTCTCTGGCTCAGGCTGATGGCCATTTGGCTATCCCCCATTACGGTTCCGAGTAAATACACCTCTCCGAGTCTCTGGCCGTAGCGGCCCAAGGACTTGTATCTCCTTCAGTGATACAGTCTCTCCCAACCATGGACTCCCAGAAGTCTATGGTACAGCTGGTGGTAAAGTCAGCTCGCTGCTAAATTTAAAAAGGGACCTATTTCTCTTAAATGACAAATCAACTTGCAAAGAAAACATCCTCGCTCGTGCATTGCTGACCTCCTGTCTCAGTCCCCAGGTTAGGATTAAGCAAGCAGAAATCATGGCATAACTGCTATTATGAAATATACTTTATAAGCTCTGAAGCCCTTTTGGTGTGAAAAGAAGGATGTGACTGTATTCTAGTCTCCCTCCCTTGCATTTGAGAATGCCACAGCACATGCTCTCCTGAGTCATCATGACCACAGTGGAAACAAGTCCCAGGAGCTGTTTCTGAAAACATCTACTCCCGTTATCACAACTCTAGTCCCGAAGGAGCAAGCCTCTCCTTTCACAGCATTTTCTTTCTCTTCATGCCAGCAACTGGATCATTTTTATTCTGCACATTATTTAACCATCAGTCACTAGTTCTTAGAAAAATATTTTCTTAAACAAACTAATGAAATGTCCTTGACATAAACTCAGATAAGAAGTGGCATTTGGTTCTTCTACATAAAAGCCAAAGATTTCAGTGCTCTAAAGTTCTTCGGCCACTGTTTTCAACTTTTGTTGTCAATTTGACAGTGGAAAATTGAAACCGTTGTGGCTTCTGCCATTTACTACATCATGTACCTACCGAGCTGGTGTTCCACGGGACTCTACATGTGAACTAGCCTGTCATGAAATCAGCCACTTAGGCAAAATGTATTTAAAACTTTACGGATCAATCCAGAAGCCGGTGGCTTTTCATCTTTTCAGCTAGTTCTATCTTAGTATAATTTTTCTCGATGTAGCAGAGAAATAGAGCTGAAATCTTAGAACAGTTTATGCTGTTGAAATCGATTTGTTTGGGTTTTCTGACCCAAACAAGACCAGAAATTGCCCCAAAGCCATGCATCTCTTATCCAAGGGTCCGGAAGCCAACTTCATCGCTGCAAGTCAATTAGGTGTCCACCAGGGCAGAGGGTGGGACCCCAGAGAAGTAGAAGACCCACTCTCTGCTCAGAAAGAGCTATTTGAAGATAAGTGTGCACTCACTGATACTAACAGGAGTGAACAGAGTAAAACCTTGCCTCTCAACTAGCCTCTTTGGAAGAAATGCAGTCTATGTAATATTTAACCCTCAACTTAAGAATCCACCAAAACTCCATTTGGCAGACTCAAATCTTGGATTCGTCCCTTTTCCATCCCTCTCCCCACACAGTACACCACTCTCCTTAGCCAGCCACATCCTAACTTCAGAAATGGGGGGCTTGGACAATCGTAAGTGGATTTTTTTTTTTCCTAATTACCATGGCATTTCGATGATAGGTTAGTGGTCTCATCTGCTCGTCAGGTGAGGACAGCACAAACATTTCTGTTTGCGTTGCTTTAACCCTCCAGATGCCTCAGGTACCCATTAAGCAAGGGACCCAGCACAGAGGATGCCCGTCTTCTCTTTCAGAAAGAGCAATAGCATACCGTGTCCCAGGACATTTGCTCCCTATTGTCAGAGGAAGGGAGGAGAGAGAGAGTGTGAATATATGTGTGTCGGGGGGTTGGGGGAAATCCTGAGCTTCGAAACCCTAATTTAGAGAACAGTTTTCATCTTTAAAAAAAAAAAAAAACTACACATTCCTTATTCCCAGGCAAGCTATAGTCAGACAGATGATGAAGGTAACACGCAAGCTGGTGATGAAGGAGAGCCCCGCACCCACCCCCGCAGAAGAGAAGACACCGGCCCAGGAGCAGCCTCAGCGCCCAGAGGTGCCGCCCCGCACAGCAGCTCCTGACAGACCCCCACCCTTAGAGACGCGTTCTGCCGACAGTAGTGCAGTTGACTTTTCATTCTAAGATTCGTAGTTCATAGGTGTGTGTTTTGAGAAGGAAAAAAAGAAAAGACTTCTGACTCCTGTTCAAAGCTAACTTATCAGCTGCATCTTCTGTAACATGGCTCATCCCTGATTAGAAACAGAAACAGCAACCACCACCACACACACACAGGAAAAGGAAAACCCACAGGCTGAAAACCCACGCTGCTCTTACTCACGATGGCAGTATTAACAAGCATTTTAAGCCTTTGCACATGATATCGAACCTGTTCCGTTTACAATGACAATATTAATACTGTTTGTAGCTAGACGTTTTGATTTCTGAATTCTTTGAGATTTTAGCGAACCAGTTTATTATACACTGTACATTTTTTTTCCACAGCAATTGGAAAAAAACAACCACTTGCAATTATTCACTAACCCCGAAGGATTTGGTACCTGAGTGTACAGACTCAGAGCCCGGAAGCCAAGAAGGGTCCTTGGCCTGCACTGTCTGCATTTGTCTCTAAGTCCCTGTGAGCAGTGACTTGAACCAATCACACCAGGATAATCCAGCCTTTGGGGCTTCTTTCTAACTTGGGGTTGTTTTCTTTCAAGATACTCTAACAAATCAGCCATAGAATTTAGTGTAAATATTTTTTCCAAGTAGATATCATATTCAAAAAGAAAAAAAAAAAAAGGCAACATTCAAATGATATAGAATCTAGTTTTTAAAATCAGCACAGATCTTCTTAAAAACTGTGAACTATGTTTTGAAATACTCGTTGCTAAAGCTGTTTATAAACCACAGGTGCCATAAGATCCCCAAACGGACTCGAGTTATCTCTGCTCTTCCATGGGCGCGTCCCTCTCGTTTTAGCTTTAGGGAGCATGTCTAACCACACCGCTCGTCCACAGCTTCCCCTATCAGGTTGTCTGGAGGCCTTCAGCTTTAAATGTACAGGCTTAAAGTGTGCTTGCAAACAGTCCTTCTCCTTTTATTTCTGAATGTTTATTGCCTTAGCTGGCTACCTGGTGTTCTGCATGCAGCCTTCTGTGGTCATGGGAGAGGAAACGGGCTCTTCTAAGTGGCGTTGGGATTTTGCACTCAGCGAAAAGCTGATGTGCAAAAGCACGGTGGAAGAAGGAAGAATGAAAGCCTCTGTGGATGGTCCTTTATGAGGGCCCTTGTCAGGTAGCCTTAAAGACCTCCCTTAGGGAGTCTGGGGAAATGAAAACATAATCTACTTGGTGCAAGACTGGATGAAATAAAAATCTGGCAACATATTGAATATGTTATACTTAAATTGGCAGCTTCTCTGGAATTCCTATCTCCTTTAAAAGAAAGGTGAGAACGTCATTTTAGAACAGTGGCCCTCAAAGCGTGTGTCCTGGACCAGCAGCATCAGCATCACTTTGGGAATCTATTTAGAAATGCAAATTCTTAAACCCCAACCCGGGCCTGCTGAATCCAAAACTCTGGGGATTGGGCCCAGCCATCTGTGCTTTAATGGGCCCTCCAGGTGATTCCTGATGCATGCTAAAGGTTGAGAACCACGGCTTCGGAATAAAGTTGCATATAAAATCTCTAAAAAGGCCTTATTCAGAATAAGCAAGAAAGGCTCTGAGTCAAGCTCAAAGCTTCAACAATTCGATTTTGCTTCCGGGGCTGGCAGAAACCTTCTCCCACCCCCACATAGTTGGTGGTTGGTGTGTGCCCAGCTGAGAACAGACATCCTGACACCTTCCAGGTCCCTCTCCAGAGGGCTCTGAGTTGGTCGTGTCTCTGCATCTGGTCAGAAACCATGTCCTTGGCTGCCCTTTGGAACAAAATCACTTGCCTCGGGGATAGCAAAGCTCTCAGTTGGCATTAGTAAGAAGCCCATTCTGTCCGTTGATGTGCTTCTTCATACTTCCCCAGAGAAGCAGCCTGACAAATGTCCCTGAGAACAGGCTGACACCAAAGGGCACAACTGCACAGTTCTCAGATTTCTTTGCACAGATGGATTTGATGATGAGTTTTGCTGGTTTATCTTAATGTTCATCTCCTTTCCACTGCCCATCGTCTGTGAAACCATACCTCTCTAGATGGGGCAGGTGGCCCCTCGTGCCTCATACTCAGTACTTAAAACCACTCCATGCCAGCTACCTACATTGCTGTCAGCTCTAACTCATAGCCAGGTAGTTCTGGAACTCGGAACTCGGATCCTGCAAGTGGCATTCAGCCCCTGACTGGACTGAGCTGACATCTGTTGTCACTCTGTCTCTGCATCAAAACGCTTGTCTAAGGTTTGAACCGTTCTGCTGATAACTGTCCCCCTTGTCATAGTTTTCATTGCCAACTCCACGACATGGTTGTCGATAGCATGGTACAAGCCATTGCAAGGACTCCGGAAAGTGCCGCCAGTGACCAGTTCCTGACTAACCAGCCACCTTTTCTTTCCCTTAGCTCCACGTCAGCACTGAGACCAGACTCAAGCACCCCTGTCCTGTAACCGAGACAAAATGGCGTGTATTGTTTTGGGGTTTTGTGGTTTTGGGGGGGTTTCTTTCCTTGGCTCTCCAGATTTACTTTTGGGACCTGTTCTAAGTGCAAACCCAGCAGGTTTCACCTGTCCTATCCAGGAGATACAGTTACATCTTGCGGGGATTATTTCTTTCTTGTTCCACAATAAATTGCACATCCATCTCCATCACAGATGATGGCCTATTAATGAGCACTGGTCTAACACAGCCAACCTCCCCTATGGCGCCATGTGGAGGGAGGGAGGAGGGCAAAATCTACTGTATGAGATTCAGGAATCAGTTGCGGTTGGTCAGGACGCAAGTCTGGGTAAGTTCGGTTGGTCAGAGGGAGATGTGCTGGAGATTGTGAAAAATGGATTCTCGAATGATCTCTATAAGGCAGGGAAGGTTCATTTGTAAGTAGTAATGTGAGTGTGGCCTTTGTTGTGATATACTATGTATTTTCTTATATGCATGAGCCGAACTGTCGCATCATAATTTAGCCCTGATGTCTGCTTTTATTTTGATCATCTTTGTCCACCCTTATTAGTTCTTTGCTGTTAACTGTAGAGAGACCTTGTAAATACGGCACCTTTGGTTGCTGCAATCACCTTGGTTTGAGTCCACGCAAGGAGCCACAAACAAGAACTCCACTGTGTCCTCAGAAGAAAGGGCCTTTTTACTTTTGAACCAAAAAGAGAAAAAAAATCAGAAATGTTCCATCTTGAGGCTAATTAACTATAAGACGTTTTTAATTATGACTACTGTCATTTGACACCATTTGAAATAACCAATTCAGAGACACTAAAGATTTCACAATATTCATTGGTATTGTAACAAAACTACTATTGTATGGGTTTTTTGTTTTGTTTTTTTTTTTTTGTATTGCTGTTAAGTATTGTGTGTGTGTGTGTGTGTGTGTGCTGGAACCTCCTGGGGACATGTTATATTTTGAAGTGATTAAACTATTTAATTGTGTGTCTATATTTTGGAATGGAATTATTTCTTCATTAAAAATGTTTTTAAAAACACTATATCTGTGTATTTTATTCCTTTCTTTCAATGAATCTTTCTTGACGCAACGTGGAGTTAATCTGTTCAAAGGAGAAAGACAAGTCAGCACTTGCAGCAAGAAGCAGGACCCATCGGTTGGGTCTTAAACAACTGGAGCAAAATATCTCACCTTTCCCTGCCTTTGGAAGAGTTCACATATTTAATGCTTGCTTTATATCTGACACTGTTATAAGCACTTTATGTCACTTGACTCGATCCTTTGAATCGCAGCATCTAGCCAGGTACTTGGCAATTATGAGCTCCACAATTATGTGTTAAATGAATGAATAAATGAATTAGTAGCTTTTGTTTTGTTTGCACTAGAGCTAGTGAGAAAGGAGAATCAGCAGACCCTGGAGGTCGATGTGTTGATAGCAACAGGAATCAAATTATGAGTTCCAAAGAGTGGACAAAAACTCAGAGTCCACAGAGGCAATCACTCCCTACATTCTCATTTCTCTTCCAAGAACCTCTGGATTCCCATGCGATGTTGGGTTGTGTTTTGTTTGCTCAAGGAGCCAATTCCTTGGCGGAACCAACAGCAGAATCTGTGAGTCTGGCTCCAACACTTCATGAATGGCATTTTTGGGAACTCCAACTTGGAATGGCGCTGAAAGTCCGTGCTCACAGAGTCTGGGGTTGATTTACAGTTCATGAAAATGCTATAAACACTCAAGAGGCACTACAGAAAGAAACCAAGAGACTCTGCTATACATCAACGCAGGGACAAATCCTGACCTGATATGACCACTAGTGGGAGCTCGGACACCCCCGTCCTCCCCCGTCCCATTTGGAGGTGAGCAACAAAGGCATGTCTATGGGTGTCTGTCCCAAGTCTCTCTCAGCTGCCTCTCAGTGCCTCATCCCCTCATCTCCTAGGGACCACATTTAACTCTGATCTCCACTTCAGTATTTCCTAAACGTATCTAATTGCCAAAGACACCTGAAGAATTGATTAATCTGAATTAGCAAGTCCAGAGTGGAGCCAGGGAATCTGTACTTTTAACAAGTGCCTCAGGTAATACATTCCGACAGATTTTAAGAACTGCTATCCTCTTGCTACTCAAAATGTGGTCCAAGGACCAACAGCATTGGCATCACCTGGGAGCTAGTTACAAATGCAAAATCTTGGGCTCCCAACCGGACCTACTGAGTTAGAGTTAGCATTTCATCGTTTTCCAGGGAATCTGTGAGCACCTTAAAATTCAGGAGGCGCTGACCTGACGTCCAGCTTTAATCCTAGCCTTCCAGGATGAGGTTCAGTCGGGTCCTCCTTAAACTAAGCTAGTGCAGTGCTTCTCGAACTTACAGTTTTGATTTAGTAAGTTGATGATGCTAATACTGATCTGAGGACTACACTTTGAGGTGCAAGGCTATGGAATTCTTTTAAATAAGGTTAATTCTAGGGAACTTGTTACTGGTAAGTCAGATTTGTGGATTTCTATACATAGCAGGAAAGATACTCAAGTTTAAGGGCTTGAACATAACGGCAGCTCAGTTGGTTGGAGCCGCTCAGGTAACACCACAGCAGTTAAACTATACTGTGGAAGCAGCTGAATTTAAGGATTCTGTCAAAGAATAATCTTTCACTCCAAGGATGGGAATTCAAAGAATCACCCGGGAATAGGACTCGGTGGTCCTACTGGCCCCAAAAGGGCAGATTTGCAAAGTTGGGATAAGGCCAAGCGTGGTGAGAAGAAACTGACAACATTTCGGATTCATCATCCCAACAGAGCACATTAGCTCCTGAGACACCCGACACCCAGGAAGAGGTTCTCTGGGCACCTTGGAAACCTAGAATTCTGCCATCTGGGACTCTGATGCCATGGACTACGCTGGGACACTATGTTGTGATGGAGTCACCCCCACTTTTGAGAGTCCAAAGATACATAAACAAGGATGTTCATGCAGCCTTGTCTATAGTACTAGAAAGAGCACACATGGACACTAATAAAGGAACACTTAAACTACTTATGGCATGATATGCTAGGCTGGAATACTAAGAAGCCATAAAAAATGATGATAAAGAAATGTATTTCTCATCATGGAAGATAACTGCATGAGTCAAGCAAAAAATGAGATTATAAAAGAGTGTAAGAGTGATCCCAGTTTGATGAATATTTGAGTGCTTATGTATAGAAAAATATACACCAAAATGGTGATGATGTAAATCATGGAGTTGTGGATGATGTTTTTATTTCTTTCGTCATGTTATTCCAACTTTGCCAGGTTTCGTGACATAAATAGAGTAAATGGGAGAATGGGTAGATGGATAAGAAACACCAGGATGGGACAGTTTCTTTGATGCTGTAATGCGGCTACTTGAGTTGGCCAACATCTTTGAAGGGCACGTCTAACAATGTGAACTTTCTGTGCCTTCAGTAAACGGAGGATTCTCTTTTTGCCTGAAGAGATGCTCAATAACATTAGTGTGCCACAGAGCATTGGAAAATATGTGTATGCTTGCTTTATTTTAAAGAAAACCTAATAAAAATATCAGGGGCTTCTGAGTCAGGTTAAGTAATGACAATACTTCATCCTCCTCACAATGTTAATTGGTTCGGTAATAGCAAGTGAACCAGGAATGCAGGCTGTGCATATTCTCCATCTCTGCTTCTGCTGTCTCATGTGTAAATGGCTTTTCCTAAGGAGGAGGGCCACTAAGGATAAGTCTTAGGCAAGAACATGTGTTGGAACACAAATGGCAGTAGGTAAACGTTTTCTCTGGCATTCCATTTTTCCAGAAGTCTCTTTGTGGGCATTCTTCCTTGAGAACAGATATTCCCTGAAAATATCTTTTCTTTAGTTAATCTTACTGGAGATCTTTATTTCTTCAAACTGCACTGAGTGCCATCTGATGTCCTTTCACTTAAACTTAGGACTCCCTTTAGCATTTCTTGCAGGGCAGGTCTACTGGTAATGAACTCCCTCATCTTTTGTTTATCTTGTCTTAATGTCTTAATTTCTTCCTCATTTTTGAAAAAAAAAAAATTTTATCCGATAACAAATTCTTGATTGACAGGGTTTTTGTTTTTTTTTCTTTCAGCACTTTAAATATGTCACTGCACTGCCCTCTGGCTTCCATGGTTTCTGATGAGAAATTGTTAATCTTATTAAAGCACCCTGTACATGACGGTCACTTCTCTCTTGCTGCTTTCAAGATTCTCTCTTAGTCTTTGGCTTTCACCCGTTTTATTATACTGTATCTCTAGGATGCAGGAGAGAATTCTAGATCAAAGCTATACATCTTGGAGTTGTCGGAATAGAAATGATAAAGGAGACTGAGAAGGGGTGGTCAGAGAGGTAGAAGAATATCGGAAGCTGTGGTATCCTGGATGCCCAATGATGAAAGTGTTTCAAGGCGGAAGGCATCATCAAATATGTTGAATGCAGCTGATAGGTCAGATAAGATAAGCACCAGCAATTGGCTCATCGCACATGTGTTGGATTGAATTAACTTAACCATATTCAGAGAATCTCTTTGCTGTTTCTCAACTCCTGTGTTCTCAATGCAATCTTGAGAAACACTGAGTGGAAATTCATGCTTGTTTATCCTCTCAGGGCCTTAGGGGATTTGTTGTGTGGCATAATAAATTCACAGGTTGACCCTGATTTCCATCTCTACACTCCCTCATGGGCCAGCTCCCTACCTTCCTTCCCACTTGGGGAAATCAATCCACAAAGACAGCCCTGACAACTTACATACTGTGACAGGCACTTGATAACAACCAAGTTAAGATAGAAAGTATATCCTTATTAACCCTTCAAAATGCCTTTTTTTTAATCATTATTTTTGGAAGAGGACTATTTTGTTTAATGATTTTGGAAATTCATCTGCCTTAGTAATATTTCTGAGGAAGAAAGGCTATATTATAAAACTCTTCTGCTCTCTGGATGTGTAAAAATAACATTTAAAAAGTGGCTCTCCCATTTTGTGGCAATGTGTATTTGTTTGACACTCTATATGGGTGATTTTGAGAGCTAAATTTAAGGAAACAATACATGTAAAATACCCAGCAAGGTTCCAGAACATGCTGGAAGCTCAGCTTGTGTCAGTTCTTTTCCCTTTTTCCCTTGTGAATTTTATAATCCTCGTTCTTAAAATGGGGGCAATACTTTTAGTTTTCAGAACACTCACACAAAAATATATTTAACTTAAAAACAAATATAAGGAAATCTATTCAACCTCATTAAGAATGAAAAGACTAGAAATTAAACTATTTTTATACTAGAGGGATTCAGTGATCCCATAAACAGCAAATTCTGAGACTCTCCAGTTGGCTTTCTCCACTCAACACGCAGAACACTGGCAGCCAGGAATTCACTCTTCAGATAAAAGATGAAAGAGCCCTCACTGGGAAATCTAACCACCACCACCCCCCCCACCCCCACCCCCGCCAAAAAAAAATCCCTAAAAATACTGACATGGGCCAACCAGAGTACCCTACAGGAAAGGTCATATGCTAAAACTACCAATTAGCTCTTTAGACCCTGACTCTCACAAATGAGCAGACAACCAGGTATAACCCAACACTTGAGAAAAGCCTTTACCATGAGCGATAGAGACCAAAACAAAGAGGAAAAAAATAGCACCTTAAAGATGGGCTATGATGAGGAAATTAAATAATAGCATGCTAGCTGCTAAAACAATCAAACCCATATAGAATAATGATTGTGTGTAGCATAAAGCCCAAAAGGAAAGTACCTGATATGTAGATGGCTTTCCTCTAAATACTAATTTAGGAATCCTGGCTTCTTCCAGCTTTTGAAAATTTGTGATTTGTATTCTCTTTTGTAGTGGGTTTTCAATATTATATAATGTCCATGCTGACAAAACCTGGATCTACCCATTTATACCTAGAAAATAAATAAGAAAATAAAAATAATTAATTGCCAAGTTGTTCAAAAAAAGGAAAAATAATCATAGCATACCTTATAGTTCAATTTTGAATCTCAACTTTAAATAGCATACATATAGTAA